AAGAAGGCCAAGGGATAGAACAATTTAGACAGTGAGAAAGACAAATCAGCTGTCTAAAGAAAAAAACTATTCTTATATGCTAGTATTAAATGACATTTTTATATTATCTTTTAACCAAACTGAAAAAATTTTCAATGAAATTTCTTATTGGACTTGTTGGACTCATTCCTTCATACACATATGCATTCATTTACTTAAAAAAAAAAAGAACTACTGAATTTTGCATTATGTCCCAAGCGCTAGTGATACAAAGAAAAGCAAATAGGCCCATTATTATCACATTCTGAGATGGTAAAGGGAACTCCCCACTATGTAGCTGAAGCCAACCTGCAGAGGGATCTGTGTGCCATCCCGAGACACAGGTTTTATTTCAAGCACAGAAAAGGCCTGGCCAGTTCTGTATTTTACATATATAATTCTAATGTCTATAAGGAAAAATTTAAAGAGACATGCATAAAGACATGGAAAATAATTAGGAGGTTGTGTTGGGGACTAAACAAACTAAGAGATAATGGAGAATAGAAGAGGTAATTAGAAATCATTGCAAAAATACATATAGCATGTTACTATGTATCACTAGGGAGATATTAAGTATATATAATAAAAAAAAGTCAAAGTATGAGAAAATAATTCTAAGGAGATATTCTTAATAAACTAAAGGAAAATTATTAAAAAGCCAACTATTTTAGAACTCACAAAGTTCACTGCTTTGCTTTATACATACATACATTTGAGTTCAAGTTGCTGCTACTATCAGGCACACTCCCAGTGTTCAGGATACAGAGTAATCAAAACAGACCAAAATCCCCGCCTTCACAGAGTTTACATTCTTGTATGGGAAAAGAAGGAAGGAAGGAAGGAAGGAGGGAGGAAGAAAGGGAGACACAATGAGGGACAGAGATAAGTTCTATGAAAGAAAAACGAAACAGGAGGGTATAATCACAGCCTCTTCTTGAGCTAATTCTAGAACTATCTGGTTTATTTTACATGGCTTTCAAACTGTAACATAGGCTTGGCGCCCACAGCACAGTGGTTATGGTGGCAGCCACATACACCAAGGGTGGCAGGTTCAAACCTGGCCTGGGGCCAGCTAAAGCAACAATGACAACTGCAACAAAAAATAGCCAGGTGTTGTGGTGGGCTACCATACACCTAGCTACTTGGGAGGCTGAGGCAAGAGAATAGCTTAAGCCCAAGAGTTTGAGTTTGCTATGAGCTGTGATGCCACAGCACTCTACCAAGGGTGACATAGTAAGACTCCATCTTCAAAAAAAAGTAACATAAATATAATCTTTTTTTTTTTCCCTTGCAGTTTTTGGCCAGGGCTGGGTTTGAACCCACCAACTCTGGTATATGGGGCCAGCGCCCTACTCCTTTGAGCCCAGGCACCACCCCTAAATGTAATCTCTTTTGTGAAGATTTTCTTGCTCTTACTCTCAAGAGAATAATGTGATCATTGTCTGCACTCCATTAATACACATATATGTACTTGTATATATTATATATAAATATACACACCTCCATATTTCTGTCTAGCTAAAGACTATCACACTTCCATTCTTATCATTCTTCCATCTAGCAATATATTATAGCACTAATCTCCAACTCTAATAATAATTTGTTTTATATACATATGTCTCTAAAATAGAGATTTTACCCCTCTGCCCCAGTTTGGTATCTTCATACCTGCACATTACCAGATCTTAACTAAAGATTAATCAATAAAAGAATAAAATATAAGTTTGAACTTTATTATAAACTATATATAGGCACACACATAAACTCCTGCCAAGAAGGAAAGCATGAAAGAACCCTGGATCCAATCTTCAGGTAGTTTCTTACATTAGCAACTTTAGTGCAAACTCTAAGGGTTCCCATCATTCTATAGGGAAAGAAAAAAAACAACAGTCCCCTTTTGGAGACCAATGAGAACTTGACAGGCAGAAGAAACAAGCCACGCAAAGAGATTTGGTAAATTTAGAATAGGGTACCATGGATATCCTACAGCTTGAATTTTCATTTTTTAACAAAGCAATAATCATACGGGTGAACCACTGAAATGTCTGAAATGGGCTCCAGTCATTCCGTGTCAATAAGAATCCAAAGCCTATTGTGAGAGAAGAGTGTACCACACATGAAAAGCATGAGTCCTTCCTTGATTTAATCAGACCCAACTACTGAAGTCTCATATACATCCTTATTTAGGCAAACTCACAACCTCTAAAGAGAATTTTACACTCAAATTTCTAGTAACCCATATGCAGGCACAACTCACTTTACTACACTTTGATTTACTGCATTTCACAGATACTGTTTTTTCCAAATTGAAGGTCTGTGGCAACTCTGTGCCTCACAAGTCTGTTAGTGTCACTTTTCCAACAGTGTGTGCTTACTTGGTATCTCTGTCGCATTTTGGTAATCTTGCAATATTTCCATCTTTTTAATTATCGTTATATCTGCCATGGTGACCTGTGCTTGGTGACAGTTGATGTCACTACTATAACTGATTATGGGCACCATGAAGCATGCTCATTTGAAATGGTAAACATAATAAATGTTGTGAGTGTCTTCTGACTGCTCCACAGGCTCGCTGTCCCTTCTCTACTTCTCGAACTTCCCTATTCCCTGAAACACAACAATGCTGAAATTAGACTAATTAGAAACCCTGCAATAACCTCTAGTTTTCAAGTGAAAAGAAGAGTCACACATCTGTCATTTTAAATCAAAAGCTAAAAATTAAGTTTAGTGAAAAAGACCCGTGGAAAGACAAAACAGGCCAAAAGCTGGATCTCTTACACAAAATAGTAAGCCAAGTAGTGAATACAAAGAAAAGTTCTTAAAGGAAATGAGAAGTCCTTCTCCAGTGACCACGCAAGTGACAGAAAGCAAAACAGCCTTATAGTTGATGTGGAGAAAGTTTCAGTGGTCTGAAGAGATGATCAAAACCAGACACATTTCCTTGAGCCAAAGCCTAATCGAGAGCAAGGCCCCAACTCTTTTTCATTCTATGAAAGTTGAGAGAGGTGAGGAAGCTGCAGAAGAAAAGTTGGCAACTAACAAAAGTTGGTTCGTGAGGTTTAAAGAAAAGAAGTCATCTCTATAACTTAAAAGTGCAAGGTGAAGCAGCAAATGGCAACATAGAAGCTTCAGCAAGTTACCCAAAAGATTTAGCTAAGACTATTAACGAAGGGAGTAACACCAAACAACAGATTTTCAATGTAGATGACATAGCCTTCTATTGGAAAAAGATGCCATTTAAAACTTTCATAGCAAAAAACAAATCTAAAAATAAAATAAATAAAAGAAAACTTTCTTAGCTAGAAAGGAGAAGTCAGTGCTTAGCTTCAAGGCTTCAAAGCTTCAAAGGATAGGCTGATTTACTTGCTAGGGACTAATGCAGATGGTGACTTCAGGTTAGCCCAAAGGCTTATTTACCATTCTAAAAACCCTAGGATCCTTAGAAATTATGATACCTCTATTCTATCTGTGCTATGTAAAAATTAATAGAACAAAGCCTAGAAGACAGCACATCTGTTTATAGCATGCTTAATGAATCTTTTAAGTCCATTCTTAAAAGAGACTTGATGCTCACAAGATAAGGTTTCTTTCAAAATATTACTGCTCACCGACAATGTACCCGGTCACCCAAGAGCTCTGATGGAGATGTAGTTTTCATGCCTTCTAACACATCATCCATTCTGGGGCCCATGAATCAAGGAGTTACTTCTATTCTCAAGTTTTATTATTTACGAAATAGATTTGTAACACTATTGCTGCCATACGTGATGATTTCTCTGATGGATCTGGGCAAATTAAACCAAAAACCTTCTAGAAAGGATTTACCATTCTAGTTGCCATTAATATCATTCATGATTCATGGGAGGTCGTCAAAATATCAACATTTGGAAGAAGCTGATTCCAACCCTCATAGATGACTTTCAGGGGTTTAAGACTTCAGTGGAAGAAATGCAGATGTGTTAGAAATAACAAGAGAACTAGAATTAGAAGTGGGGCCTCAAGATAGAACTGCCTTACTGTAGCCATATCATAAGAAAACAAACAGATGAGGAATTGCTTCTTATGAATGAGCAAAGAAAGTAGTTTCTTGAGATAGATTTTACTTCCGGTGAAGATGTTGTGAATAATGTTGAAATGACAACAAAGGATTTAGAATAGCCACAAATTCATTTGATAAAGCAGTGCCAGGATTTCAGAGGACTGATTCCAATTTTGAAAAGAAGTTCTACTGTGGGTAAAATACTATCTGTCAGCATCATATGCTATAGAGATCTCTTTCAGGAAAGGATAAATTAATCGAAATGTCAAATTTCACTGT